CTGTGCATGAATTTGTGCATGCATTGCTACGAAATTCCGAAGTCGCTGACGTTGTCACGCCAAACCTGCAGGCAGTCATTGGCTTGCTATCCTTCAAAGGTTGCCAGATTGTCAGACAAATGAAAATTAACTACAACCTCATAGAGGTGAAACCATTTGGTGTGTGTTTTAACTTCGCTACCAAGACATTTCATACAGAGTCAATTGGAGAGGAGGAAATTGGAAATGTCTCTCCTCGCACGTATGTCAGCTACACATACAAAGAAGGGATTGTGCCAGCCCCAAAAATCTTCATCGACAGCCTGCAAAACAGCTTTCCCGAGCACGATGTTTTACAACGATTCCTGCAAAAATGGTACCAACTTGCCTTGAAGGATTGCTTTCCACAAAAGGCCAAGAAGCTGTGTTGCGTCGGCGAGGCTGACTCTGGCAAGACAAGCTGGTTTGCGCCATACGAAGGTATAATATCAAGGGAAAAGTTAGCCTCGGTAACAAGAGACAGGCACTTTTCGGCCAGCATGCTCAGCGACGACACGGAGTGCTTGATTGTCGATGAATGGCCACCAGATGCGCTGAGTGCAGACGACGCGAAAAGGATCCTGCAAGGAGGATATGTTGCTCTACCACAGAAGCACAAAGAAGCTACGCATGTCGTTTACCGCTCTGGGGTTTACATTACATGCAACTCAATACCTTCGTTTACAGAAATCGATGACGCTGCTATTCAGACACGGTTGGCTGTTTTCAAAACAAGATCTTTGAAGGAAAGAAATCCTCAGGCAACAAACTACCTGAGGAAAAACTGCATGCAATGCTTCCATTGGTGCGCCAATGAATTACGCGACACTCCATTGTGGGAAGTCGAGGAAATTGAAAGAGCGGAGCAGCAACACGATGATGAGGGTGCCATTTTTAACGATTTCAATGAAGGGCAATCATCCAGGATGATTAACATTGAAGAAATAGAAAAACTTCAATTCTCGCAGAGCATTATCATTGCAAACGATGAAGCAACAGCCGAGCACCCTCAAGGAGCAGTGCCGACTGAAATTATTGACCAGGTCATCTTGGACGACGAAGATGAGAATCCGAACTGGGTGAGGGAGGAAAGTCGCTGTTTCGTCACTTTTGGGCCCATCAATGTATTTTCATACCACAAAGCTGTGTTTCTTTTGATCACTTCTAAACCAAACTGGGATTTATTGGATGCAACGGATGAAGACTTGGAAAGATTTCAAAGAAGACGACGACTTTCCTGGAAAAAGCCCGATTCCATGTATGATGCCTGGCTTCTCATCGAAGGAACGCCAAGACCAGAATTTGATATCAAATTGTTTTCGGAAACATTTCCTCGATGGGAAGAACTCTTGAGGGAAACGTACCGTGGTATCAGTCAGCTTTCCACGCCGATCAACGAATCGATTGATTCAAATAATGACAAGACTGCCAGTGACGACGAGAGCTTCTTTAAAACGCAAAAAACGCCAAAAAAGCGTCCACGAACTATGATTGTTCAAAGGCGAAGAAAACATCTAAAGTTATCAAGCGACGAAGAAGAATAAACCTTTGTTTTCAAATGCCTTTTGAGTTATATTAATTTTTATATCTTGTAGTTCATCATAAACTTGTAGTTTTATATATTTAAAAAAATGTTGTTGAGTTTAAAAGTTTTCTTCGATGACAATAAATCTTAATAAAGGGATGAATTACTAAAATCATATAGAATATACGTAGTACAAAAATAAAAATCAATATGAACTAAAGACTTTTATTAAAATATTATCAAAAAATACTTTTGGCTACACATAAAGATTTTACTTTTTCGCCAAACCAAGGAGCGACAAGTAACTAAGATGAGTTCAAATGAGTTGGGATGAGCTAGAGTGAGCCAAAGTGATGTAATGTGACGAAACAGAGACCAGCCTCTTTCTTTGCTCTGCTTTGGCTCACTCCTACTCCCTGCAACTCATTGTAAATCATCGGTGCTCCTAGTTGCTCAGCCCTTGCGAGAAAATTAAAGCTTTTATTACGTCATAACACTTTGAAGTCATCTAAAAATCATTATCATGATGTTTATCAAAAGTTTAAGAAAAGTCAATGGTAGCAGCAGCAACCACAGGCTGGGATCCAACGTAATCTGAAAAAATCACCAACACCAAATAAATTCTATCAAAACTTTAGTTTCTCGCCAAACCAGGGAGCGACAAGTAACTAAGATGAGTTCAAATGAGTTGGGATGAGCTAGAGTGAGCCAAAGTGATGTGATGTGACGAAACAGAGACCAGCCTCTTTCTTTGCTCAGTTTTGGCTCACTCCTACTCCCTGCAACTCAATGTAAATCATCGATGCTCCTAGTTGCTCAGCCCTTGCGAGAAAACTAAAGCTTTTATTACGTCATAACACTTTGAAGTCATCTAAAAATCATTATCATGATGTTTATCAAAAGTTTAAGAAAAGTCAATGGTAGCAGCAGCAACCACAGGCTGGGATCCAACGTAATCTGAAAAAATCACCAACACCAAATAAATTCTATCAAAACTTTAGTTTCTCGCCAAACCAGGGAGCGACAAGTAACTAAGATGAGTTCAAATGAGTTGGGATGAGCTAGAGTGAGCCAAAGTGATGTAATGTGACGAAACAGAGACCAGCCTCTTTCTTTGCTCAGCTTTGGCTCACTCCTACTCCCTGCAACTCATTGTAAATCATCGGTGCTCCTATTTGCTCAGCTTTTGCGAGAAAACTTAAGTGTCTTTTGACGAAATTAAACAAGGTCAATCTCATTTTGGTGTAAAACAGATACTTTTTGATAATTAAATATAACAATTTAGTTAAGTTAGATATAAGAAAAATATAACATATATAACAATAATTTAATTAAATATAACAACAATAATTCAATTAAGAAAAAAATTATTTCCAACCAATTTTTTTCTTTATTTCCAACCAATCTTTAACACAAGAAACAGAAAGGTTATTACAATACTGACAAGGTCATTATTTAAGTCACTTTTTAGCAAGCAGTTCTGCTCTTTTTTTTAGAGAATCAGGGGTCCGTTTGCTATTGAAATTAAATCTAGGATCCTTAAGCATAGCCGTCCACTTTCCAAATCCATAAACTTTCAAACTTTTTTTTAGAAAAAAGTCCTCCTCTGGAGTAAATGGCACCCTTCTACTGACGACTGGCTTTGCTTTCAACCTGTCAGCATTGCAATCTGGGCGCGAGTAAGCTCTACACGATTCGTTACCCGCTTCGTCGAGATTGACGCAAATTTTTTCTTTCCGATTTCTTCCTGGCGTTATTTGCTGGTGCTGTTCGGTTTCTTCCAAGCAGCAGTCTTGATCAGACGAATCTTTGTTGTCTAGAATGATTCTTTTTAAACTTCTATCAACTTCTTTGTTCTGCAACTTTTTCATCGCCGATTTAGCGTTTACTGCAATTTCGCGTGAATTGCGCTTTTGATAGTAAGTTTTCGCAACTTGAGAACTGTGTTTTTGGTCTCGGCTCACGACTTCTTGCTCTTCAGCAGAAAGTTTACGCGAGCTCTCCGTCTCAACAATCTGACGATATCTGGTCGGATGAACGTATTTCCCGATTGCCTGAAAAACGAGTTCTGACATCAGGTTACTTAACTGTTTAAACTGTGTTCCATTTCTTGTGACTAGTACATATTCGCACTGAGGGTTCAACAGAGGCCTAACATGGCAAATATAGTCGTCAAGGAGTCGTGTGCTCGTCTCATCAAGTATCAATGAATCAAAGGTGTACTGTTGTGCAGTTTTAAACTCAGTCTGGTCCACAAACCCATTATTCTCCCTCGACTTTTCAAACATTGATACTGTTAGAAATTGATACGTCATTGGGCGTGATCCTTTCACTCTTGTAAACATATACACAGCTACAAATCGAGTGGCAAATGTAAGGTCCGCAGGTGTAACGGCAGTCAAAGGATAGCCTTTACAATTTGTCAACACATCTTTGTAGCGTGGAAGATGGTACGGTATAACTCTCTCCATTTCTTCCATCGTCGCCCACTGATTACAGCCAGAAAGGACTTCGATCGACAGGTTTTTTGACCATTCGCTGATTTTCCTTTTAGCCAGTGCTTTTTTTCCTCGGTTTATGTAAACTTCAGAAACCGCCAAATTGCCAAGCACTGTTGCCGATAATCCACTGGATTTACGAAAGTCGATCAAATCTGTGATTGCTTGTAAATACCCAAATTGAGCTGAGCTGCCTAGGCCCCATTCTTTTCCGATATGCTCGATAAAACTGCATATAAGTCCTGCGGATCCTATGCTGTAGTCTACATGCTGTTCTGTGAGATTGTCTTCGTCATCTTCGCTGCAAAATTTCAAGAATTTCATTACGCGTGTAGCATTTTGTGTTGCCTGTGCTGCTGACAGTCCCCCGCCACAAACAGCACAAAGCCAATCGACATACTGCTTTCCAACCCCTTCAGAAATTGAGAAATGTGGCCTTTTAGTTGTATCTGCACGTCTTCTGGCACTTTCGATGTGTTTGTGACTTCTTTGGGTACTCTGTTCAGCCGACCTTTCAATAACTTTATCACTCGGCTTCACATCGAAAAAATAATACCATCTGTGCTTGGTGTCTATATGTTTTCGGCAACCTCTTTTGCTGAAAAATGTACGATTCTCGCAAAATTCTATCGGACAGCGAAAGGTTTTATCCTTCGTTTCACGGAGTATGACAACACGTTTCTTACTGTGTGCCCCTTCGACCTTTGACCAATCCATTCGCACATTTTGGTATTTCTCTTTTCGAGACAAAATCGAGCATTTCAACCCTTTTTATTGACAACTTAGAAACAATTGCACACAGATTCTTTTCATGGAAAAAGTTAAATTTTCTCAATGGTATTGTTAGATATGCATGAGTTTAAAGCGTATGATAAAGCGCAATTTTATACTTGAACGAGATCAATTGTAAAAACGCATACAGCACTTGTATTCAGAATGTCCCCAGTAGAAACACAGGGAATCTAGAATGGCCAATTAGGTCACTTTTCGAGGAACGCCACACTCATTGGAAACTATGTGATCACAAGAGGACATAGAAACCCCCAACAAATCACAGTGATCAAGGAACGTGGCATCCCTCGAATATGTTCATTGGATAAAGAAAACAGTGCACATTGTAAATATTAGTCACCAGAGACATCTGAGTTCGCTTGGTGCAAGGACCATAGCATTGTTCTTCTTCCCCTGAAAATTTCTGTCTAAAGGACGGGGGCAGACTTTATACAAATACTGTAATACTCAGAAGTATACTTGCATATATAAAAAAATGTCTATACAATTTATTGAAATTTTCCTATATAAACGTAAGCGTGAGCAACCCTCTCTCTCAGTGAATCATATATTGCATTAGAGAGATATATATATATATATATATGTATATATATATAATATAAAATATATATATATATAGGCCCGTCGCTACTGTGGGGCGTGGAGAGTTTACAAGTGTGACATCCCCTTGAAAAAATCTGTTGCAAAACAAGGAGTTGAATTTTCATACTTGTTAGCAAAAAGGGATGACTCGCCTACTTTGTCGGTAAATTGGACCTAAGCATCCACTCTAATTAACTTGTAAAACTTTATGATGCAAATGCTCGTGATTGTGACTTATGAAGATATAGAATTATAAATTTTTAAGGATTTGACCCAAAATATCGTTCCATGTCAACTTCACTCATTGTCTCGCATATGCACTCATTTTTTTATACGAAACAAAGGTCGATGTTGAGGACCCCAGTTTCTTCATGTTCTGGAAACTTCAATATTCATTGTTTCTTAAGAGTTCCTTAATTATGATGTCGTAAATGATGTTATGAAATGTTTGCGACCTTTTTTATCACGTCAAGAGATTCGCTTCCCCTCTGATGCTGTATTTAGATGTGGGAAGTATACTTTTATCCCTTGTGTCTTAAGTTCTAGGCCAACAGGGCAATCATGTTCTTGGATTTGACAAAGTTTCGTTGTTCTGCGTTTTATCACCATTTAATAGTTTTTCAATTTTTTTGCTTCGAGTACTTAATTTTTTGTCAATTTTTTCTGACTGTCCAGTGTTCGTTTTTATAGCCAGTTTCTTTTATCAAAAAAATGAGTGCATGCCTTATAAAGTTTTTACTTTTATATCGTCGTAAACTCAATATCAATAACTTCACCATATTTATCTGCGATAAAAAGCTCTTTGGCAACTGGCATGCTTTGCAGCTATATTTTCAAAACTGGCCTAATATCGCACTGTATAAAAATACGAAACATAATCAATTTCTCAAGACAGCTGCCGCCAAGCATGCCGGTTGCGCAAGAGCCTTTAAACGTCGAGGAAAGGAATAAACGCACTTCGCTTTATCATCTGGTAAGTTAATATAGTGGACTGGAAAGAAACTGGCTGAACAAATGGTGCCAGCCTTACAATCACAATTGTTGTTTACAGTTTTTAAGGGCAGAAACACCCTGAACATTGAGAAACTGAGTTAAGCTGACTGTTAGGTAAGCGCATAGTGAGACAAAGCTTCAAAAAGCTACTTTGCTCCAGCAACGACAAATGATTTCAGTAAAATTCTTCGCTTAAAAATAGATGCTCAGTGTTTATTGTAGGCAGGAAAAAACCAGGATATGCTCTGAATTTCTGCAGGGACCGCGG